AACGCATTACTATCTATTGGGCGGGGCGACGTTGATCTTTCCTTTATAACTCGAACTTCTCGTTTACTGCTTACCTTGTACACTTCGAGGATTCAGGTTCATTGCTTCTTCGTCGGAAGCTTGTCGGCGGCGCCATATCCGCGTCACTTCGGAGCACCAATTGGTTACATAACATAGAAGGCATGTTACAGGTATTGCAACGCCTGAAATGGGATAAATTTCTCACTCTCTGGGCGGAATTATCGAGCATCAAACTGGTAAAAGAAAAAACCTGTAAAGACAGCGAGTAGTATGCAGGCCAAGAAAACCACCACGTTCAATTGGCAAACGATCAGCGGCGGTGGGCCGACGCAATATGAAACCACAGAGGCGCATTCTTTCATACATTCAGACTGAAGCGACAGCTAACTTTTCAACGGTTCGACGGTTTTGCCCCTCCAAAACGGCTCAAACTTACATATGACTCGTATACAGGAAAGGCGCCTGACATAGCCCATAATATGATGTCTCATATCGTTTTTCGCTATGCTCTGATCAGCATGTTGCAATTTTTGAGCTGAGATGAGTAGTTATCTGAATAAAAGAAGTTAAAAAAAGCAAACTGGAACGTTTCAGAGTTCGCGGTACGAATGGCGGAAGATAGTTGAGCAAATGCACGAGTTTTTGCAGATAGACGAATGATTGACATGAACGAGGAACTCAGTAAAGAGCAACGTCAGCTGGTTATAGGAAAGGGTTAGATATGACAGGTGAAGGTAACATAGAGCGTCATTTTCACGGGTTCACCCTATTTTAGAGATATTGCACTATTCAACTATTACTACCCCAATTTTCCGAAAACAGGCCGGATCTTGATCGACTTTTTTCTACGGGGGCAGATTTGGCTGAAAGTTGGGTTCTAGGGGTAATTCGACCTCCTGAACACGAATATCACATCCGCTCGGCCCGAAACTGCCTGGCGCCCGCGCCACAGGCGCCGGCGCCAAAACACCCTAGGTCACTAAATCCGCTGAAACTTGTATACGGAGGTTATTTGACATCTTGATTACAAATATCACATTCATTTTGGCGCTGGCGCTGATGGAAGACGCTGCGATCATCTGCGCTCTGCTAAGGCTGAGCCTGACCTGAAGGAAATCACTCTTTCTCCCAGGCTCAGCCAAAGCGCTAAATGGCGCTGGCGTCGAAAAATAAATGTCATATTCGTGATCAGGGCATCAAACAACCCCATTATGCAGGTTTTTATCGATTTTGATAAAAAGGGTGTGGCGCCAAATCAGCGCCTAATGGCGCCAAATGGCGTCAGGGCTGAAAACTAATTCGGTATTCGTGATCAGGACATCAAATAACCCTACTATGCAAATTTACACAATTTGGTGAGAAAGGTGGCGGCGCCAATGGCGCCAATTTGGCACCAGTACCGAAAACGAGTGCTATATTACCTCTGTGGGCAGAGATTCACCAAAAAATTTTTTTTGACTTTCTGGGGTAGTAATAGTTGAATAGTGCCGAAATATTTTACCCCATTTTTTGGCTCCAGCTCATGCTCTCGTTCTGAGCCTCATCGAGACATGTCTTAGCTGGCTATTGTTTTTCTTTTTATTGGTCTCCGTTTCTTGGAAACGATTTGTCTGTCCTCCCACATTTTCTCCGAAAATATTATGCTCTTGACGTCAGCAAGCTCTTCGAGAATGTTGAGAGCCACTTTTGGCACAACTTCACATATTCAGAATTTCTTCTAGTATTGACAATATTGAGGAGGAGGTAGTGTAGTGGCAAGTGACACGCTTACCACGCGCGCGATCCGGTAGAAAATCCCCAGTGGGCTCCCGTCCGGGCCAACCAAACATACTACCATCGGGGCACAATAATTACCAAATTGAATAATTAATTAGGGATAATTAGCAAAACCAGATCCGTCTGGGAGGATAGGAATACCGACCTGCCATCGGTGTGCCTCCGCAAGTCATTCTATACAGAGGAAGGACGTCTTACGTTGGGGAATCCTCAGCGGAGGAGGTCGTATTTGGTTTGGCAGGAGGGTGGTCGCATTCGGAGAGGAATTTGCTACGTTATTCCTGCTGTTTGTTGTGGAGTATTTGCATTTTTTTTCTGTTTCGTTTTTCGATATTTACCTCCCCCCGCCCCCACCGCCCGCGCGCCTTCCCTCCTCTCGGACTGCAAAATTTTGAGGAAAAAAAGTAAAAAGTAGGAAATTTCTGAGAAATCTTGGGGTAAAGTTCCAGGAAGCTGAGGAAGTGGTAGGTTCGGAATGGGGGGAGGCGGCAGAGTAGTGTTTATCTGAAGAACCTTCCAACAACCGGCGAGCACGTGCCTCCTGATCCTGTCACAGGCCTATATCGCAATTCAGTGACCGCTACCGAATTCCGTATAGAAGCAGCAATGTTCTGGGGCCATCCTAAAAAAATTTTGATGATTAAATGCACTGTCCGCGAATCAGGTATTCGAAGTTGAAAATCGGCGTCAGGCAGGTTAGAGGTGGTTCCGCGAGCAACGAACCTGTAATCTGTTTCGCGCAAAAAAATTCTATGGGAGGGGCGCTGATTAATGCGCCAATACTTAGCGTACAGTGGCTCCTCCTTTTTTCAGCTGACTCAGCTTCCACCACTCCCGCCTGTAAGACCGAATCCACGTGAAAAAACATGAATCCCTGTAGGACGAAAACCAGCATGATACAGTCATCACTTGTACGATAGTAGAAATCTTATTCGGGAATCAGTTTGGCATATTGAGGGCGTAGTCTTTGCAGCATGGATTGATCGTGGGCACACGTTAACAACCTTGGGATCGAAATGGGGTTCTATCTAGGGCAGGTGGCATGTTTTTTGTGCTTTTGCTCAACCCCTTCGTCGTCTGTGTGGAACCCCCTAATCCACCATCTGAGATGGCGAAAAATCGCGGGTTCTTCCTTTAACAGCAACGACTACCCTACAGGTGTCCTTTATCCTTTTATTGTCAATATTCTCCATCTAGCAACCTCGTAGGCAAAATCATTACAGGGAAGCGAGTTCCAAGTCCCAGTAGTCGAAGTCGCCACCCTCGGGTTTACGGAAGTACCCTAGAGTTGCTCGACGCCAGACATCGACAATCCTTAGGGAACCAGAGCTCATCATAAGCTTGAAGATCGCGTGACGGACGTTCACAGCTCGCAATTATCCACCGATGTGACGGCGAGAAAACATGCTTAATTGGTGCCAATTACACAGCAACATCTCATGTTTTGCGGAATTTTCGCGACAGAAAAGCCTGATGAATGACCGGTCCGAAGATTGGGCGCCATATTTAGCATGCAAAATTCATGAGACTACATGATTTCAAATGAAACAAAGATTAAATCTCCTGTGTCGTTTGATCTGGGATTCAAGTCTCCTTTCAGAATTTTTGGGCATTTCAATCAAGGCACGTCGTGCCGCTGGGGAAAATTTTTCGAACCTCTAGCAACCAGAAACGACCCACCGCCGGGAATTCCCCAACATATGACGTGCCCTGACTTCAAAAGATGAAGGGCCAATGCAAGGGCATGAGAGTCCAAGGTATTCCCTATCAGAAGATTTCCGCCTGACTTCATCGAAAAAAAACAAAAAAAGAACGGAAAAACGAATAAATCGGAAAAAATTAAAAGTGAAAACAGATGAGTCGCTCAAGGCATCTGAGGCGAACGAAGTCGAGGCGGAAGGGGCAAGAGGTATAAAGTGCACGTGAAACGAAATTTTGAAAGTCAACAATCGAAGACGTTCTCTCAAGGCTTAAGCGAGCCCCCCTATTGCTTCTGCAACCAAAATACGACCCCCTACTTCTTGCTGGGAGGCCCTAACTTACGACGTTCAATTGTCATCATTAGGTATTTAGTTGCCCGGATGAATTCATTTGTCCCTAGAGTTTGATAATAGTGGAAAATACTTAGCTACTAATGGTGATAGGCCTGTAGCTGCCTGCAGTTCAGACGGACCTAGTGACGACTCCTACAAGAAACCAGGTACTTGTTCGCTGCGGATCATGCTCCTCGGCAAGGGAGGAAGTATTGGGTTTGGCGCGTGCCGTTCCCACAGTACTTGCTGAAGGCACGGGTGAGAGAAAACAATTGCGTGGAACGACTGATACGAGTCATATGATAGGCAAGTCCTGTCTTTTACGAGAGAAAAAAAAATGGGCAGGGCGCCAAACCTTTTCCCTCATTGGTACGCCCCATCAATCCCAAGCGGAATCAAAAACTGTACATCACAGTAGACCGACCCCCCCAAACCAAAGGACTGATCGAGGGGGCAGGCGGATGGCGACGCCAGCACGGTTTTGTCAGTGTCAGACGTTTCCGGGTGCTACCCCCCTCCCACCTTTCAACTACTAGTAAGGATAGACAGTGCACACGCAAGTCCAAGCCATATGTTCAGCAGCATTCAGCATACCTGCAGTGAGGACAGACTGTGCACTGTCGCTAGAAGGGGAATCCAATCAAACTAGCTATTCCATTGTGATAGGCCGAGTAAGGCGCTGACTTTTCGACAAATATGTGTGTATCAGTAACAAGTAACGAAAGGAAGTTTCGGATCAAGTTAGAATTCGCGTGTTTCACCATTTACAGCTGAAGTCTCATGGGATACAACTGGTCCTATCGGGCATATCCGGGCAAGGAGGGGCTGCGCGCGCACTCGTGGTATGCGGGTCTGGAATTACTTGTCAGTCGCAGCACGCAGTACATATCAGTTGACGGTGTAGGAAAGTCGACGTGCAAAGCCGCTGACATGTGTAAAAAGGGTTAAATGGGTTCAGGTGCTGATGCTGCGTACAGTCTTGTTCGGGTCGGATAAAGGGGCGTGTCAGTGAGGGATTCGCGCGCTGCCAGCCCGTTCTCCATCGTTTATTGAAGCGGCTAAGCAACAACAAAACAACAAGAAATAGGAGAAAGCGACTGACGCAAATGATCAGATGCAGTTTTGTCGCTTTCCGAGAGAAAAAAGAACGGCATTGCGCCAAGCCAAACCCCTTGACACGCCCTATCATCCACGGTGAGAAACCTGTACGACATCCCGCTTGCAACTCGTAATTCGTAGCGACATCGAAGAACGAACCGAACTAAAAAGTGTTTACCTAAGAAAACCTGCATAAACTCCATTATGATGCTTTGGGCCACGCGGGTACAGTGCGTTTCAAAGGGGGTATAATGCTAGGTTCCACAGACGTGGACACCTGTGAACTCTTGAGATGCTTACACACCAACACGTAATGGGGATCCTATGCCATTTCACAGCCTCACAAGACTTTACAGGTTTCTTCGGTACACTGCTCCCTGCCATGGTGATGCTTATTGGGAGCTCCGCCCAAGATAGTCACGCCCCTTTTGCCGCGAACTAGAAAACAATGGTAACGAGCGCATTAGCGAAATCTCCTTTTTGAACGCGTTTTGAGAACACACTGAGGAATGTCTTATGGAATAGCTATAGAGAAGGGAGAGAAAATCTTGCATGTGGGAAA